TCAAATTTTCCAATTTTCCTACTTGCCTCTTTGTCCTTACATTCCACTTTAATAACACCCCCCCCCCCCATTATGGTTGAACCTATTGTCCGGTTCCTTAAATCATCGAAACTCGCAAGCCAATCAACCCACTTTTGTACAACAGTTTCGTCAAGATTAAAGTACCGTCGGATTGGAATGTAGGACACAGAAAATAATAAAAAAATACGATTAAAAAACGCATATAAAAAATTTAGTCAGTAGACTTTACGTAAACATAATTTAAATGTAAACTATGTATCTACTTTTATAAATCAATTCTAATTAAAAGTAAATAAATATATTATAAATGAAGACAATACTCACGTTTAAATACTTAAAATGGCACAACCAATGAAGTCATACATTCATTAATCTTTATCTTATCTTAAGTTATCTGTCCCCGCTAAGTCACACATTGACTTTAGATTCCTTAATTTTGTTTTAAATTTTTGTTATTGTTTGGCTTCTAATAAATAGCCCTCCTTAAATAAATGATTTACTTACTTTCCGTGTTTATTTAGTAACGACAGGTAGAAATGTTTCTTACACTTATATATTTCGCTTTTTTTAATTAATTTTAACTCATTTTTATTTCCAATATCAAAGCTCTAAGACAAATTGTGCAAGAAATAAAATTAGGATTGTTTCACTACAAATTTTTATTGTGTCAACAATATTGTTTCAACCGTCGCGGGTCAATAAGAGATCAAGAGTAAGTATTATGGTACCAAAAGAAAAGAAGGTAACACAATAACTTCTCTTTAGAATGACCCGCGAGGATTGAATCAATTTGAAACAATAAATATTTTCAGTGAAGCAATCCCAATGTTCTTAGGATTTTGTTCCTTAAAAAGAAACAAAGAACAGTTTTCGTTGTCCGTCTGTCACGGTCATTTTTCTCAGGTACGTGTGGAGATATCAAGTAAAATTGGTACCAAATATTCAATCAAGTCTACAATCTCTTCAATCCTTGTAAAAATCAAAGTTTTAGGTTAACGCAGTCAAGGTACGGCTGTTTAGACGCTTATCATGCATATTTTGATACCCGCAAGAGAATCAAAACATAAAGGGTGCTTCCCGTTGACCTACAAAATTATGCAATTGAACAATGAGCAAGGTCTTGCAGCACAAATAGATGGAAAAATTCGAAAACCGTACATTTATCACAAAAAAGTAAATTTTTAATTGTAATTATACGTTTTGGGGACTCATTTTGACGGAAACTTAAAACATACTCGGAAAAAGCGGGAAAAATCTTCGATTCCCAAAATGGACGAACTATTTAACATATTCTATCTATTTTATTTGAAAACTGTTTATTTAGTTTTCAGTAGCCACTTCAACGAAGCAATAATTTTCATTTACATTTTTTCTGTCCAAATTTTAGAATTGGTTTTGGAATGCGTATAGAAAAATAATGCCATCCATGGACGAAATGCAGAAGACTTCCAACGACATGTCCGAATTGCAGTCAATGCTTCCAACCATTGTTACAGTACACAGGCCCAGTCTTGTGGTTAGAAACAGCGAGGACATTACAGGAGGTGTATGTTTCATGCGCGATAGTCCCTATCGCATTTTGAAGGTTAGTGGAGTTTTACGTTTATTACATTTAAGAATTGTTGACTTCGTTCTTTTCTTAACCCTATTCTGCACGAGCTGATTAATATCTATATATTATTTCTGGAAAGCTAAATGTTTGATTTTATTATTTCTTGAAAAATTGATTAACAATATATTCCTTTATTCAAATTGGTTGTGCCGATAGATTAATCAAATTCCACACGCGTAACGTCTTAAAGGTAGGGGTTTATACAATTTCATTATGGAAACACGATAATAATCAGATATATAAGAATTATATACTGGAAACATAATTCGAAGAAGACTGAAGAGAACATTCCGCCCTACCCTTCAGCTTTGCAGTGGAGTACAGGCCGGGCGGACTATACATTGAAGAGACTATACTTCGTTTACTTACTCTAGCGATGTGACCCTTCCAATGTCTTGGATGCGCACTGGCAAAATCAGAGGAAGGGAGAAAAAAACTCATTATACTCTCGACTCTTGTACATTAAACATACTTTTTCGTACAGTACTAGCCAAAAGTATTGTTCAATCATGAATAGTAGTGCGTGTCGAAAACAAGCTTTAAAACCTTTAATATATCTCCAAATATAAACAAACATGTCGTTGATATTTTCAGCGGTAATTGGTACCAATAACAGCACATTCGAGCAATGCAATTTTAGTGGATAAAATGATCAATTTTTCCGTGCAGTACTGTACGGATTATACGCTCCTCGCCGGTTGGGAGTCTGGCGGAGAGTTGTCTTCTTCCTTTTCTGGCCTAGTGTTGTTCTTTTCTACTTTGCGCCGGTCAAGCTAAAGGTCACATCGCTAGAGAAACTAAACGAAGTATACCTTGGTTCAGATCAGACCACATATATTATCGTATAGTAAACCATATCTGACGACAACATAATCCAGTTAGTCTAATGATCTCGTATTTAGGTGTACGATGACTACAAGAATAAATAATGAGGGTAACCAACGACCAATCATAACATTAGAAATAAAAAATAACTTCTGTACATGGTTAATGTACGATTACAGTTAGTTAAGTTTCCCTGATTTTCTCTAATAAATATTAATTTGAAAATTCATTGTCAATTTATTTTTCACTATAAGTTATCTCAAATCAATGAGAAAAACTTTATTGCTGTTGTCACGCTCTCGCCGGGAATCGAATTCGGGACCTTTTGCTTTTCGCACCAATGATCTGGCTACTAAGCTACGGGAGCTTCATTAATTTGAGGTAACTTATAGTGAAAAAAAAATGTGAATGACTTTTCAAATTAATATTTAATATTGGCCACTAGGAATATCAATGTCTCTCTAATAATATAATTAAATTGCATCCGTTGCAGACATTATTAATAACAATGTCTGCTTTTGTATCTAATTGGCAGTGCACCGAAGTTACTCAGATATATTTAACAGGACAACACTGTCGCTAGGTAAATATATTAGTAGCTCGTGAGAATAAAACCCCTCAGGCGCGAACGCAGGGGAGGGTTTTGAGGGTTCTAACCCCTCCCCCACCGAAATGTGTGAGAAAATTGCGCATTTTCGCAAGTACATGTAACTTTTTAAATAGTTTGATGTTAGAATGAGTCTAAATTGTTATATACTACAACTATTAAGAGAATATCTGTTGAAAATGCTAAGTCAAATATATACCTGCGTCAGCTTAAAATTGAAAATAACAATAAAATACTTCATAGACACTTTTCCCGCATTTACATTTGTTACCAGCGACAAGGCGTAACCAAGGTCATTTTCATGCTGGGCCCAGAAAGCCGAAGGGACCAGGAGTAATAAAGCAGATTACTGTACATTTATGAATAATTTTTAGTTTTCAGTTTCACCGGGAAAACTGGCAGTGTTAAATATGTGGCGCAAAATAAAATATTTGTAAACGTTATTTATTTTTGCTAAGTTCAATATTTTTTCCAATTTTGCATTCACCCCTGACTAATATTTGGTTCTTTACCTCAATCGCTTGTTCTTTATGTGTAGGCATTCCATATATCAGTCCGTATTTATCCATTTACAATATTCCTTCTATTTACTAAGAATCCTGTCCTAATGAAGGATTGATTGTATATTGTAGTCGCAATAAAATTTCTTGGTATTTTTTATGTGCCCAAAATTATAATAACTATAAGTACTAAATGTCACAAATTTTAAAAATCGACTTTGGACGTGTTCTGTAATTCTAAAAACTTTTTTAACTTTTTTTATTTTTATGAAACCTTCCCCCCGCCCCCCGACAATATTTTCTGCGTTTCCTGAAACATCTACCTATAAGTTACTTCTAATTAACATTGACTATTGGAAAATATTTCTACTTATTTCATGTATGTTATGTATCTTAAGAATTATACATTATAGCATTATACTCTAAAACAACAGCTATTGTTGAATTTTTTACGTTAACCAATATTGTACCTACTCAATATATGTATAGGTACGAATAATAAGCATCTATAACTAAAAGAAAAAGGCAGCAACAAACGTTGACGGGATTTTGTTCATCAGAAATTTTTTAAAAGCTTATTCCAAATCATTCTTTAAGAAGCATTGTAGTCATCCCTTACTGGCAATAAATTATTTATTATTATATTCACTTCTGTTTGTGAATGAATTAATTCTGCTTTTGATTAATTATTTTGCGTCGCAATAAAACTTTCATTTCGTTGGCCGAGAAATCACTTTTCCTTTTTTTCTATTCTGGTAAACTCCCAAATCATAAATGTTTTTCTTTTACTTGATCCGACGGCAAAGAGTTCAGTGAACCATACACATTATTATCGGCATTTTTCCTTTTTTATCTTACAGCGAAAATACATTCTTTGATGAACATATGTAATTTATTTTTTCAATCACATCTATCTAAAAATATCAGGTGCTTCTCTTAAAACTATCCTAAACTAGCCAAAATTTTTTGACCAAAGAGTAGCACTCCTCAAAAGCTTTAAATTACATTTATTGGACTGATATTACTTCATTATTAATATGAAAAAATGGCTGAAGGTCTTTGTATGAATTTTTCTATATCACATCGTATGTTTCTAAAAATAATTCCGCCCATTAATGATTGTATGTAACGCAATATCCTTTTGTTCGGTTCTCAAGTCGCCACCAGTGTATATCTCTCACAGCTTTAGATTTCGTGATACCATACTCTTTAAATAATTACCTGACACATTGTTTATCATTTACTTCTAGAATCATAAGCGACTTCTGATAAAAAGAAAGGCATTTAACATTTGTGTTGATATGCACAAAAAAGGCTTCAATCGTATTTTCAAAATACAGATAACACAACCAGTAACAATGTAGGCATCTAACATGAATACTGTTTAAGAAATTTTCGCACTTTTCTATCATCACGTCCCGTTTGTTTTGTTTCATATCCAACTGCTGCGTGTTTTTTCTTCTGCACTTGTTTTTGGAGTAATTTTTTTATATCAGCGACTGTTTTTCTAGTGACAAACTGTATTGGCTTGTTGCTATAAGTTTTCTTATTTTTTTTTTGTCGCTTTATTACTCTGATTTTAAATTCTAGTTGTCCAACTTACTTTATTTTATTGACCCTTTCGTTTCATTCAAACTATTTATAGGCGATGTTGGCCGACTTTAGAAATTCATATCTCGTCTTTTACTAAACCGTTTTTGACTTAGATGATTGTTAACACCTACACTTAACCTCCTATGGTTTGTAATTAGGCAACTTTTCGTTTCCATCCTGCTTCAGTGAAATATCGCAGTTTTTGAAGTGAAACTTCTTTACGCACGGATGAGTAAGTTCGTTTCATGCGAGTTGCTAGGTAACGAAATCATGCAACGGATGTCCCCCTTCTACTCGGCCACGTAGTCGACTTCGTAGTGGGGATCGCTTGAACCGTGCGCGCGCTTCAATGCAACGTTCGTTACTGGCAACTCCTGATTGTATAGTGCAAAATTTAAATTCATTGTGTACAAATAATAGCATTAAACCAATTACTTAACCTCTATCCCGGTATGTTTATGTGTTTTATGAAGTTTCACTTCAGTAGCGTGTTGTATAATTACGCGTTGTATTTTTTTGAAGTGAAACTTCTTTACACACGGTAGGGTAAGTTCGTTTCATGCGAGTTGCTATGTAACGAAATCATGCAACGCATTTGCCCCGCTGTCTGTATGTATGCTTAGATCTTTAAAACTACGCAACGGATTTTAATGCGGTTTTTTTAAAAGATAAATTAATTCAAGAGGAAGGTTTATATGTATAATACATGCATAATATAGTAGAGAAACACTGATAATTTTAGAGGTTTCTAATGTGATGTCGTAAATAAACACATTTTTTGCACTTACATTGCAAACGCTGACTGAACCCTACGATTGTACACTTTAAAAAGGTCTACAAAAGAGTCCGCGATGGTATATGTCAATCTCTTAGGGATGACCCACAGTAATCATTTATCCCTTACTTTTTACGAGAAATAATGGCTTATTTACGAAGCGATTTTAAGCAATACAGTATTAATCCTTATCCAATTAAGAATTTTAAATGCATTGTGCATTTAATATAGATCAATACGGTCCTTTATAGCATCTAATTTAAACGAATATTTTCAAGAATATTACAGACTTAAAATGCAGGGACATAGCGGTTGCGGCGGTACCGGCCGGTTTGTATTGTCTAATGACAAAAAAGCTGTGTTTGTTGTATATAAAGACATTCTATAGTATATTTACTATCAGCATTGCACCCGTGCGAAGCATAGTGTATAAATAATACCATTAAACCAATTCCTTAACCCCTATCCCGGTATGTTTGTGTGTTTGAAGAAGTTATATATATCTTGGGAATTTTCGATGTATTGTCTTCCTTATTGTAACCTTATGATGTTAAACATATTCTCAAAAAAGAAATTAGTCGAAATAGATAAAAAAAATACCACATCGGCCGCAAAACTAGCTCGGGTCAGTGGCGTACAAGCCCAACATTCATACCATTCGGCTAGAGTTGCT